TCCCACACCCCTTTCCTCCCAAGAATAGTCAGTCCATTCCCTTTCTATGTCCCTGGTTCTATTATAATCACCAGTTCATTCTGTTCATCAGATTATTTATTCACTTGATTCTTAGATTCACTTCTTGATAGATGCGTATTTGTTGTTCATAATTTGTTTTTCTGATAGGTGTTTGCAGGCTGGCCAAGCCCCCCAGTGGGGATCCTCACCCCACGGGGGTGTACCCAGCTTGTGTGAGGGGCTGAGGGTGGTTTTCAGGCTGGCCACACGCCCTTCAAAGTGGGGGTCCCTGCTGGGGTGCCTGGCCAGCCTGGGTGAGGGTCTGATGGCTGTTTTCAGGCTGGCCATGCCCCCCAGTGACTCAAGCTCCCAGCCTCTCTCTTTTTTTTCTTTTTTTTCCAGCCCCTCCTTGAGCAAAGGCCAGGGCGGGCTGGAAGAAGGTATCTGGGACTTATTTATCTTCTGTAATTGAAATGTATAGCCTTGAGTGGAACCCAGTGCCAGCGAGGGCAGGTAGAAGCTTGGCTTCCTTCATCACCAGGGGCAACCCAAGCCTCCTGCTCACTCCTATTCTAATAGGACACAAGTGGAAATATTGACTATGTTATTAAGGATTTTTTTATGTCATATTTTTGTTATTTATGCATTGATTCAGGTAAACCTGAGAAGATTGACTTGGTATCTTGATTACAAGTTTCCACCAAAAGTATATGTAGTCAATCACTATTCTTTCTGTACTTACTTAAATAATCAGGTTGAGTCTAATGTAAACATTTTTATTAACCTTGGTAAAATTTATATTTGTCTCTTTTTATATTAGATTCTAATCCTGCTCATTGTTCTATGGCTTTTGTTATATACTGTAGTTTTCCCTTATTAACAGGGGTACATTCTGAGACTTCAGTGGGTAGTACTAAACTTTATATAAACTACATTTTTTTTCATATACATATCTACACTAATAAAAGAGAAAAATGGTAATTGGCGTATGACGCTACCCTTTTCATTGGCTAATCAGGGCTATATGCAAATTAACTGCCAACAAGATGGTGGTTAATTTGCATATGTAGGCACAATGCAGGGAGGCGAAGGGAAAGCAGGAAGAAGCCCCCTGCCACTGACAGTGATCAGAAACCCAAGGGGGAGCTAAGAGTTGGGGGGCAGGGCAAAGGCCTCCTCAGCCATGATCAGAGAATCAGGTGCCTTTTCCACCCTGGCCAGTGATAGCAGGAAGTAGGGGTGGATCCAGCGATGGGAGCTGGGCACGGTCAAACTGGCAGTCCCAGGAGCTAGGGGTCCCTTGCCTGGGCCTAAAGTGAAGCCCACGATCGTGGGGTCCCTGCAGCTGCAGAGGCGTCAGGCCTGGGCAAGGGACTGATCCTGCGATTGGAGGGTGATGGGGGTTAACGCCTTAGGGCTCCCAGTATGTGAGAGGGGGCAGGCTGGGCTGAGGGACATTCCCCCCCACACACACACCCAGTCCGTGAATTTAATGCACCGGGGCCCCTAGTCTATGTAATAAAAAGCCAGGGTCATAAGGACCAAAGGCTCGACCATACCGGAAGTCAGTGGCAACCCAGCATTGACGGGTCATTTCAGGTGCCCCAACCCAGCGCTGACTGCCTACGGGGCTTCGGATCAGGCCCAAAGAGAGGCCTGCAGAGAGAGGCACTGTCTGATCCATAGCCTCTATGGAAGCCATTGATCAGAACTTGCTTTTCTCTCCTGGCCTGGCCAACATCTATACCTCCATTTCTCTCCAAGACTCCGCTGGGGCTCCTGATCAGCCCCACCTTTCTGATTCGATCCTGTTGATAGGCCCAGCAATGTCAACTGGCATAGAAACTGACCAATCAGAACCAACTCTGGGTGAATGTTAGGAGCCAATGGCTGCCTAGGAGGCTGAGCTTTTGAAGCTGACTGGC